GCAATCAAGGAGAACCGAATGTACAAACTTAAAGCCTTGTCCAAACTATTCATTCTCCAACTGGAAACCAATCTGGAATTCGTCACCTACGACCACTCCGACCTCGCCACCTGTTATCAAACTGCAGAGGACATCATCAACTCCCTCTCCACCACCACTGCTGAAAACCCCACCCTCGTTCAACAACCTCGTGCTAGTTTCAAACCTCCTAAACCAACTACTCATCTACACGAGGATACTCTCATTTTCGAGATGAACCCAACTACTCCTCTACATGAGGATACTCTCCCTTTCGAGATGAACCCAACTACTCATCTACACGAGGATACTCTCACTTTCGAGATGAACCCAACTACTCCTCTACAGGAGGATACTCTCACTTTCGAGATGAACCCAACTACTCCTCTACAGGAGGATACTCTCACTTTCGAGATGAAACCAACTACTCCTCTACATGAGGATTCTCTCACTTTCAAGATGAACCCAACTACTCCTCTACACGAGGATACTCTCACTTTCGAGATCAACCCAACTACTCCTCTACACGAGGATACTCTCACTTTCGAGATGAATTCAGCTACTCCTCTCCACGAGGACACCTCTAATGGTCAACCTCCTGAAACCCCTCATCAGGAAGTTCAAAGATGTACAAGAAACACTCCCTGCAAACTACCAGGATGCATGATCTGTCAAACCCCTACTATACCAGGTTCCTCAAATTCACTGGTTTCTTCAACCTATCCTAACCCTCCTATTGAACCAGACCCTCTGTCCAATCCTGAGGTTCCAACCAACCCACTCGAACCTGATCCTCCAACCAATCCTAACCCTACGACCAATCCAGCTCACCCGATCGAACCTGACCCTCTCGCCAAGCCGGCCCGACCCATCGAGCCTGATCCCCAGCCTCACCTCAAACTCCACAGAAGTGAGGAATCTAGCTCCAGCTCCGAGTTCCAGACCATAGCCTGCTCAGGTTGAGTTCCATGCAGATCACATCGAAACTGAGCAACTGAATTGCATTCTAAGCTCAAACTAGAACTCCACCCAAGATCAAACACAGGACTACTTTTAAACAAAAACAAAACATTTTAATCGTATAAACACGCAAACTCAGCTTTCTGAATATTCCCCAAAAAAAATTAACATTTCCTTACCTTTCATGCAAATTTTCCCCAAAATAAACCAATGTTTCATGAATTACACGCAAATTCACACATTTCTATATCAAGATTAGATTATTCGATTCAATTTTAAAACAAAAAAAGATTTCCCTCTTTCCGAGTTTTAATTCCTTTAATTTTAAATTCGTTTGATTCAATTTATGATCGTGACCCGCCGAAATCTCAATTCGACCGCTCTCATCAGACAACAAGGAGATCACAACAGACTGTTACTTTTATTTGTGAATTAAGCCAAATATATGCAAACCATCACTGAAATCAATCAATAGAACTACACCCAGCATCAACGCAGGAATCGACTAATTAAACATTTTAATTTTTTTTAGAAAATAAGCAGAAAAGTTTCAATTCTAGCAAATTAATTTCCCTTAAAATTAACGATTCTTGAAGTCGAAGGAATTACTAGCATTTCTACTTTAATTTCAATAATGATCTTTCTGTTTAATTAATCCTTGCAATTTTAATTCTTCATTATAATTCATAATCGAGATCATTTCAGTTTGCTGTTAATTCTTATTTTATAACAGGAAAAAAACACAGAAATTTTCATCCTAGCAATCAAATTTCAAAAATGTGTACAACGTGAAGTTATTTACTACATTATTCTAACCTCATCAAATATCAGCTTGTTAACCAATGTATTAATTAATGTATCTCGAAGTATTACTTCTGTTTATTCAATCGATCAATCTAATACCTATCAATCATTCAAACTATGTGTTTAGTTATATTGTTAATGGTTTTCCTTTCATTCTCGTATGTTACCATAACATCCTCGAACCCCTGCCTGGAGCCAGTGTCAACCATTANGCTCCTCTCGGAGACGAGAAACCAAACCAAACAATTTCAGCCTGCTTTTCTTCTTTGTTCTCCGACAACAGAGTAAATGTGAACCATTTCAAAGTTAAACAAGAATATTTTCATTTAAAGAATTAGTGACTTTCATCAACATTTAATTGTTAATCTTTTCAGAAGTTTTAATGTATAAAAAAGCGTCTTCGGACTTTTCGACTGTTAACCCACAAATAAGCAAATAGATCGTAAGAATCTTTTCATTATAAATTTGTAAACCATTGTAATAATTATTTATCATTATTCATTTCATTTTTTTTTAGAAAATAAAGAGTTTTCTGCATTATCGATTTTGATTTGAGGGTTATTCCTTGTCTATCTGTTCATCGTCAGAATCTTGTTCCTTAGCGACAACAATTTAATATTTAGCAATTCATTCAAACTTGTACAGGGGCCCGGACCCGCAAAAGTTGGGACTGTAAAGACGACCTGAAATTCTCAGATATGACGCTCCAACACAAGTTTAAGTTAATTCTTAATTATTTTGCCTTGGATATAGTCTTTTAATAGCTTATTTCATGATTTGGCAAGGAAAGAAATCGTGAATTCAATTAATTCCATGCAGTCGTCTCTCATGATTCATCCTTTGTGGGTAACCCTGTAAAAGAATAGTTTTCAACCTTGCTCTGAATATATGATGATCAGTATTGGGTTCATGACTCAGGGTCTCTTCAGCATCTGCAGACATCCAAACTATTCAGGAAATCAAAAAAATATAAATTTTTATTTTTGAAACTATAAATCAATCTTTTTTCGAGTTAATTATGAAACTAAATCGACTCAGAAGAAAAATGTTTTTCTTGAATTTAGCTGAGATATCATTTTGGTTCGTCTTCTACCTTTTCTCTCTCACAGCAGGAGCAAGGTTCGATAAGAAGTTTTAAGTTATTCTTAATCAGAGGTTTTTTGTAGTCCCTAATGGTATGATAAATAAAGTAATAACGCAAAGCAAAGAAAATATCATTATATACGAATCATGACATATTTAAATGCGAAATGATTAATTAATTGTTTAGTATTTTGAATTGGAGTCTGGTTGGGAGTGTACTGCTGTGTTTACTATTTCAAGGTTCAACAGCTCTATCAGAATCCATAACATCAAACAAATATCCTAAATATCATAGGTATGTTCCATCCCTGGTATCCCTGGTATCCTGGTATACCTGATATCTCTGGTATCCCTGGTTTTCCAGGTATCTCTGGTATACCCGGTATCCCTGGTATCCCTGGTATCCTGGTATCCCTGGTATCCCTGGTATCCCTGGTATCCCTGGTATCCCTGGTATCCCTGGTATCCCTGGTTTTCCAGGTATCTCTGGTATACCCTGTATCCCTGGTATCCCTGGTATCACTGGTATCCCTGGTATCCCTGGTATCCCTGGTGTCCCTGGTATCCCTGGTACCCCTGGTATACCTAGTATCCCTGGTATCCATGGTATCCCTGGTATCCCTGGTATCCTGGTATCCCTGGTATCCCTGGTATCCCTGGTATCCCTGGTATACCTGGTATCCCTGGTATCCCTGGTATCCCTGATATCCCTGGTTAACTACAAATGCAAATGTTTAGATACAAGACTGAGGTTCCAAGGTTTCTGTGGATTTGGAATCCATTTCAATCCAAGTATTTATCTCCGTTCCTGGAATAATATTAACAACTATGCAAACAAGTTGTAAAAAAGGATGATTCTAAACAAACCACACAAGATGGTAAAACTTAAAATCAACCAACAAAATCAGATAGAACATGGAGAAAACCCTAATAAATGTTCAGAACAGGATCTTATAAGACTAATTGATGGAAAAATAATGACAAAAACATCTCAACCAATCTTGAAAAGACATATTCAGGTTTGTATCCAAAATACTAAATAAACCAGTGCTGGAGAAATTATAAAGTGACTATTTTCTGGTATATAATGTTTCTAGTCGAAACCCCATCACACAAACAACTTCTGAAGCTTTATTTAACATATTTAATACAAAAAAATAAAAATCGCATGGAAAATATTCTGTTTTGACGACAATGGGCAATGAAAACCAATAATTTAAAAAAGAAAGATTGGTTGGATGGTTAATTTGATAATCAATAACATGAGTATGAAGGCATGTATTTTCAATTAAATTGTGGCATACATTTAAAAAATCTAGATTCAAGCCATAGTTTAAATAAAGGGCAGACAAAAATATAGATGAACAAACTCAATTCGAAATAGTGCCCTAGGGGATGATGGAGTTGCATTCTAAGGAGCTGAAATCTCCTTAAATGCTGAAAAAGAGACTAAATTACGGTCCTCCAACCACCAAAAGGGCAAAAGAGTATTATTAAGGATATGACTGCATAGAGAAAGTATTTAATGATGAGAAAATTTAAATAAAACGTGATTAACCCTATAAATAAAGTAACAAAGAGAATTTGATTTTGTAGGTATTTACTGGTTTTTATTCTGTGTCCACTACAGTTCGTTTTAGATAAAAATGGGATTCAGTTCGATAAAAGAGACTAATGAGTGATATAAAAACATGAAGGTCATAGCAAACCTTTAGATTTTAACATTTTTAATCTTTGAATTTACCATTTTTAGCCCCAATAAATAAAAATCTGCATTCTGTGTGTTTTTTTAAAAACACCTTTTATCTGCTTTAAATTTCATTGAAAATATATTTTTCATATTTTCTCTGAAATGTGTGAATGTTTTTACAAGTTAGATAATATGTAATATCGAATCATACAATTCAGCAGATAGACATGTAGTGTAGATGTATGCAATATGTGATAATGAGTAGAAATCTTTAAGTTTTAACGATATAAAAATCGTTAACTTTTCTAATTTCTGTGACAAAATTAAAGGAAACTTTTAGAGTTTTTGAACTTCATATAAGGTTCCACATTCTTTACAAATTCATATCAGGTTTCACATTTTTTTTTTACAAATTCAAAATCATTTGTGGTGACTTCTTGTCCATATCGAGTCATTCAGCCTTTTAATCATTTGTCAACAAAATAGAATACTTTCACGGCAAACTTTATTATATTCCATATTAGATTGAAGTAGACTTATATATTTACAATCATAACTCCGGAAAAGCTATGGAGAAGAATAAAAGAGTTTGAATTCAATGCAACAACAAAAAAAAATTTTCTAAAAGTTATGCGTAAAATCAAAACTAGAGGAATTACCAAGGATGTAATGCAAGGAAAGTTATTTCAGAAGTGTACACATCTTTTGTACTGCAGTGTTCTGTCTCTGGGCGGTAATGTAAACACAAGACGGATGTCAAAGCCTGACATGGGATCCATCTTTCACATTAAAAAAATCAATATTCTTGTTTCAATGTGTACGCAGAGTATACACGACCGCAATTAACTTTCCTTGCATTACACCCTTGGGAATTACGAGGTCAAAAAGTCGCAGAAGTTAGCCTGACTAGACGGTACGACTATATAGTACGTGTTGTACCGGCACGGATCATGCAACTTTTAGACTGGTGTGCGCGTTCTGTTTGTCAACATCTCCGGTAATAGATCTGATATGAAGGAAGTGTAGTGTGTAAATCTGCTGATACAGCAGGCTTTGAACTGTTTAAATACTGCTGCTCTTAGCTTAATTATTCTCAGATAACGAGGTGTCATTAATTCTACATTTTCAAAATTAAAGAGAGCGAATTAAATCCTACCTGATGTTAATAGTCTATCAATAGTCTGAAGAACACGATACATGTTAAACAACTTTTAGATTGATAAGATTTCGACCTAACGAGATGGAGCTTTAGATAACAAACCCGCACTGTAAGTACAGGGTTATCCACAAAGGGTGAGGATTGAAATTACGTCCCAAAGTTAAAAAAAAAATAGAGGATGAGGGTTTAAGGAAAGCTTTTTTTAAAATTCTGTTAGATAAATAGTCGATCGTAAGTTTGAAATATCAAATAAGGCTTACGCCAACAGCTTGCAAAGATATAAGGATTAGAAACTTTGAGCTTGTGGCAAAGCTCAGTTCCTTTGATCTGTTGCTTTTGAAAAAAATCAATGTAAGCGGTTTACTAAATTATTTTGCAAAAATGATGCAAGAATTCACATACCCAAAATCCATAAATGTAAGAAAAGTTGGAAATAAATTCTGTACAGAAGTCTTTGAAGTCTCATTCAATGTGGGTCCCCCTGTATTTTGTATCTAGAGGTATATTATAAAATTTGTTCGAAGCACCCTGTATTTTGTATCTAGAGGTACATTATGCAATAACAAATATGTACGAAGCACCCTGTATTTTGTATCTAGAGGTACATTATACAATAACAAATATGTACGAAGCACCCTGTATTTTGTATCTAGAGGTACATTATACAATAACAAATATGTACGAAACAATTTCTAAAGATTAATAACGGCTCTGAACGGTAAATAAAAGGAATTTAAATTCAATTAAGATTTCAATTGTTTAAATATTCATGTAATGTAAGCCTCCCCTGTAATTATTTATATATTTGTATACCTATTCATATCACAATGTATACTATCTGAATATTATCTCCATTAATCTATCCATCTATTCTGAAATATATCTATTCTTATAATCTTTACTTGTTTGCTGATGGTATCTGTGTATTAAGGGGTCTAATATTTTTGTAATTTTAAAGAAACATTTTTTATTGATATGTTAACAATATTGGCAAAATATCCTGAGTATTGCATATTTGTCAATCAAAAAAAACAAAAATATCCTTATCAAAGGGACTGTACAAAGGTAATTTCAGGTAACTATCTATTTAAAGAGTGTCATGTCAATTTCTCAATGGTACCCTTTAAACCTTTATCTGAATAAGTTATCTCTGTTATGACTTTTAAATAGTCAATTGAACATTACACACTTATTGTTAATCCGGCTAACGTGCAATGTTGAGCTTGAGAATCCGGTAAAAGTGTACTGTTGAGAATCTGGCTAAAGTGTACTGTTGAGAATCCGGCTAAAGTGTACTGTTGAGAACCCGGCTAAAGTATACTGTTGAGAATGCGGCTACAGTGTACTGTTGAGAATCCAGCTAAAGTGTACGGTTGAGAATCCGGCTAAAGTGTGCTGTTGAGAATCCGGCTTAAGTGTACTGTTGAGAATCCGGCTACAGTGTACTGTTGAGAATCCGGCTACAGTGTACTGTTGAGAATCCGGCTAAGTGTACGGTTGAGAATCCGGCTAAAGTGTGCTGTTGAGAATCCGGCTTAAGTGTACTGTTGAGAATCCGGCTACAGTGTACTGTTGAGAATCCGGCTACAGTGTACTGTTGAGAATCCGGCTAAAGTGTACTATTGAGAATCCGGCTAAAGTGTACTGTTGAGAATCCGGCTAAAGTGTACTGTTGAGAATACGGCTAAAGTGTACTGTTGAGAATACGGCTAAAGTGTATTTTTGAGAATCCGGCTACAGTGTACTGTTGAGAATCCGGCTACAGTGTACTGTTGAGAATCCGGCTACAGTGTACTGTTGAGAATACGGCTAAAGTGTACTGTTGAGAATACGGGTAAAGTGTATTTTTGAGAATCCGGCTAAAGTGTACTGTTGTGAATCCGGTTAACATGTTCTGTTGAGAATCCGGCTAAAGTGTACCTGTAGTGAATCGGACATTTAAAGCTTTAAATCAAGGGTTACGTAAAATTTGTCAAGAGTCTAACTATAAGTGGAAAACTATTAACTATAAGTGGAAAACTATTAACTATAAGTGGAAAAAACAACAAAAACAAATCTCAAAATATAAAAATTGTCTTTAAACAATAAACATTCTTAAGCTAGCGAATATTTGCAGATCATATCTCAACCTATCTCAAACTATCATTTATTATCAAAGTTCATCTCTTTTTTCATCTAAAAAAACTTTTTCAATTTCTAGTGTTTCTTTCAAATGTTTATTTTGTAATTAGAAATAAAGAGGGTAAAGAGACCAAAGTTATTTTTCTTATTTTAACCAAAAAATGTTCGCTACTTCACAAAAGGGTCGTACTCTCCCTTTGTAATTGAATGCTTCTACAAATGTTCTTTAGTTATAATTAAAAGATTTGAAATTCTCAGATTTTGCACATTTAACACAATGGAATATTAATTTTAAAAATATTTTTCAAAATTGATACACCCTAGTATTGTGTAGTGTGTGGTAGGCTACCAGTTTTTATCCTTACATCTCATATCTTTAGGCTTAAATATATCATATACTCATTCATTTATTTA